GTTAGTATATCGTAGTAGTATAGTAAACTAAGTAATATATAGTAAGTTGTTTAAGCGGGGACGGGTGGCGGTGGGGTGGGGGATGGGTGGGGGTGGTTACGGGGAAATTAAATTCTAAGAAACATGAATAAGAAATCAGCTCGCAATGTAGATAATTAACTACTCATCAATATTAATGCTATATGCTGGTGCTCAAAGGTGCTGTATCCAAATATGCCATGATTAAGTGGCAAATATAATCAGGAGCAATAATTTTAAGGTATTTAAAAATGCATTTAAAAAGTGATTTTTGAAAATGGTAGTATTCGGCAATATTTTATGGGAAAGTATAGAATGATACTATTTACCTGTTTTTTTACAAGGTGGTCACAATAATTTTGACCATTGGGTGTATAGTTGGGTGGTTGCAATTATTCTTTTGATCAAGCTTAAACTTCAAAAGAAATTTTCTTGAACTTTACGACACATCCAAGATTTCAAATTTCACATCAAATGGTTGTTAGCTATTGTGACCACTATCAAATTTTACATCAAATGGTTGTGAGGAATTGTGACCGTCTTATATAAAAGGTAAATGGTATTTTTGTATACAATCTCATATTTTATTTGATTTGAAATTTCATTATTTTCATGTTACTTTAAAAATCACACCTTTTCAAAATGTGTTTATCAAATAACAGCGAGTTATAAACTGAGCTTCTCATCCCATGATATGAGAACTGGGGGAACGCTTACAAGAGGGGCTTATAATCTTGGCAACCTAAGGGAGAGAAGCACGGGTGAAATGGTTCCAAATTATCAAGTCTTTTTACATAATCTTTGCGTCAAATTTCATTTGTTTGATGTTTGGCAAGGGGTATGATAGATCCATGCGCTTAAAAAGAGATCAAATATCCGTTGTGGAGTGAGAGAGAGAGTAGGGGTTGGCAATAGACCTGGGACCGGACAGGTAGACCTGACCTCGAATCTAAGTATAGGTTCAAAATTTGAACTCAAAAGATCGAGTTAGGGTCCAAAACCTGGATCCAAAGATTTTTCAAGTTTGGGTTTGGGTTCAGCCGGACCAAACCTGAATAATGGGTGTACCTAGGTATTCATAAATGCTGCCAATACGTTCGTGTTTCTTAGGGATTTCAGTTATTACGAAAAGTAGTAAAGAATGTAGGTATTCATAAATAAACGTGCAATACTGTAAATGTTGTCAATAATATAATAATATAAGTATATGATGATAAATAAATAAATAAATAAAAGCTCATAAGCATAACCCCCGTCTCACAAAGACAGGGGTGGCAATAGACCCGAGTGTACCCAAGAACCGAGGTATGAGTCCAAATTTTGGACCCAAAAGTTCCCGTCCGGGTCCGGGTCCGGGTCAGGACAGACCCGATCTGTTGCCACCCCTAAGAGATAGAGAGAGGCCCAGGCTGTTTGGATGCGCTAGCACGTATATCATAATTATTGCGATACATCTTGAGTTCTGCTCCTATAACTGAACCACCAAAAAAACAAGAAAAAGAACATTTTTGCATTATAATACACAGGAAGTACGTATGAAAACATAGCACATGAGTCACAAAATGTTACCGGATACCATTATACACAAGGATTGGGAAAGCTAAAAAATGGTCCTAAAGTTCAAAAAAGAAAAGAAATGGGCTCATGTGAACCAATGGGAGCATATCAACTTGGAATAACACATGGCAGAGCTTCACCCAAACACAGCAGTTTCTGTATAATCATATAAATCTGCAACCTTTGAACGTGGTAAAAATTAAATAGCTTCAGATACCAAGGCAGCATGGCATGTAATAGTTTCTCTTTCTATTTTTCACGCTTTTTACTCCTGTAATCCTCTTTGAATACCATCGGCAGGGGCAGCACGTAATGGCTGATGTGCCTGTGCTGTAGAGCGCCTTTGCAAGTCTTTGAATCTATCAAGAAGTTCATGGAATGTTGGTCGGCATTGGGGATCACTGCAAAAGTGCTAGTTAGTTGGGGAAGTAAAAAGAGCAGCAATTTTTGTTTCAGTTTTTGGGTTTAAGATCAATACGTATGCCAGCAACTCTCGATTATCGATGCCCATTGAGGGTCTGTGTCTTTTGGGATCTCTAGTCGCTGGTTCATGAATCCCACAGCGCCGATAACCTGCATTTGCAAGCCCATGAGTGAGAGAGACAGAGATAGAGTGTGTCAATTAGATAGAGAGAGAGAGAGAGAGCACCTGCATCGAATTGAGATTCTCCCACGGGATCTTCTCAGTCACTAGCTCCCATAATATAACTCCAAAGCTGTAAACATCCGACCTAAATATTCAAATGCAGTGGATGAGAACCATTTCTAAGTTTATGCATCTCAAGAAAGAAAACCAATTGCAACTTACTTCTCATCAGAGAGTTCATTACGAAGAACTTCGGGAGCCATCCATTGTGGCTGCACAGTACAAGAATAAAAGTTAGATACAATCCAATAGTGCCTTTAGATAAAAATAAAATTATTGAATAATTTCAAAAGAGTAAAGGGATTTTTTTACCGTTCCTTTTCCTGTTTTTGTAGACAGATATGTATCAGGTTTGAGTCTGGAAAGGCCAAAATCTCCAACCTGCAAAAGGAGACACAGATACCTTTAATGCTTCTTCCCCTATAAAAGCCACAACTGTGGAACTTGTGTATGTGTGTGTGCATGTGTAAGTATAAATGACCGAAATTGAACCTTTACGGTCCAGTTCTTGTCAACAAGAAGATTTGATGATTTCAGATCACGGTGAACAATCGGAGGGTTACGGTGATGAAGATAATTCATGCCACGAATCTGCAGAAGTTATGCAAGCCATGTTAAAATAGACAATCATAGCAGCTGGGAGAAAGATGTCAAGATTGTCTTAGTCTCAAAAGTCCTTCAGAAAATGTTTCTATTTAACAAGGTGTTTCTATTTAATAAGGATCTCTTTACATTGACATGTACAGTGCGTTCCTGTAGCCATCCTGAAACTATATCTCTGTATCTACATTAAATATAGATGTAGAATTATGTGGCCCTCCTACGCAAAGAGCATAAGACAGCTTTTACAAGAAATTCCGAAAGACGAGGAATTAGTAAATTATGTGCTTCATATCATTTTGTACATAATAATAAAAAAAGAAGGAAAGCTGTCACGTAATGCTCAGAATTGTAGTGCATAAGATATGGAAAGTGAATTTCAGAAAATGAAGTAGTGATACAGGTAAATGAAAAACTCCAGCTATCGTTAGATCTAGGTGAAATATATGTTAGATCTAGGTTAAATATATGATACTTATAAAAATGTGTACTTACAATATCCATTGCCATGTGAATGCGTCTTCTCCAATCGAATCTGGGTGTGCTTCTTTGGAGCAACCGAAATAAACTACCACTGCAATACGAGTCCACATAACAGGCAAAAAAACTGCTTCATTATTGTCAAAGAATTAGATAGGGACCCTCTCAAAATAGAGTAGAGGTAGTTCAATGGGGGGCAATAGAGAAAAGGAGCAACCCAAAGGGGAAAAAAAGAAAATGACCAAAAATATGGATACCTTCCTTTCCCTAAGTCATAAACAAACTACCCATTCAGAAAGGGAAAATAGTGCAGATACTTAAAACAGATCCTTCAGAAATTGTATAAGGAAAAGCCCCATTGAATGAAACAGAGTTTCTCTTCTTGTGCCTAATGAAACAGAGTTTCTCTCTTTTCAAAGCCTCTTTAGCATCCATCAAAATTCAATTTCTATTTTCGTTTCTTTTTTTTTCCATTTAAAATTAGAAGGCAGCTCCCTGGTGTGGCAGTATCTGTCTTTCCATGGTATTGCCTAAACTGAAAATTATCTACCGTTCCGTCACATCCATCCCCTTAATGTTTTCCGTCAATGAAATAACTCAAACTGTAGAATCAAGATGTGAATTCAAAACCACTGCCCATTGTTGGAATGGCGAAGCCTGTAACCTTTCTCCATGAAAGTAGGGCACATCCGATGATTTTCATTTTGTCTGTGCTATCTTGACGGTAAAACCTATGCAGCACTTATTTTTTATAATGTTAACATTGTATTGATGGAGCGAGAACGTGTACAGTTACCCTATGCAGCACTTGATAGTGGCCCTGGTGTGTGAGGAAGCCCAGGCAAGATCCCTGCTACTCTTTTGGTAATGAAACTCCAGTAATTTATAACCATCTCTCACTAATTCAAATGACCCTCTCAAAATGGCAAATCATGAAAAACATATAACCTCAAAATTTGAATTCACATGCATAGCAGCAAAGATGCATAGAAGGAGAAGATGGAACAAGGGTTCACTCTTCTCCCCCTGTTCCAAACCAATATTAGCATTCCTACTAATTCGTATAACATAAACCGCATCTCTGTGCATGATATCCTTTTGAAAAGTGTCTAGTATAAGTTCAATAACAAATAAGTCGGTCGCCCTTACCTTAGGAACTTACATTTTTTAACCCAAAATCCAAATACTCCTGGCAACTAGCGTTATGAGCTTGTTGCCCCAAAGTCCCTAAAGACCCACTACAAGAATCTACTAATGCCATGAAAGAATCATTTAGCATGAGAATAGACAATACCATACATGACATAGATGACACGTACACTAGTATTAAGGCATAACAAAAATACCAAACTATTCCCAAAGAATATTACAATTACATGTGCATCCATGCGTATATGAGTACCAGCACGCTATTTGCTTCTTTGTTTGTGAACAAGGAAGAATGTATGAGCTGTTTAACACATGGCAGAAATAAGTGAAAACAAATGTCAATGACAGCTTAAGCTCATGGGCATATAAAATCTGTCTCTCTCTCTCATGTGTGTGTATGTGTGTGCATGTGTTTGTTTGTTTCAGTGTGTCCATGTCTGTCTGGCTGTGTGTGGTGCATGCGCATCTGTATCTGTGTGTGTGTGCGTGTGTGTGTATGTTCATGGCATTTCACCTTTCTTCCAGTGGATTCATCGTGCATCTAGTTAAGTAACTTTGTAATGTCCCTGTGTGTGTGTGTGCATGCGTGCGTGTGTAGGTTCATCTCATTTCACCTTTCTTCCAGTGGGTTCATTATACATCTAGTTAAGTAACTTTGTAATGTCCAGGTCGAACCTCCTGCCTTCCTTGAAATCACATTATCAAAAAAGAAATCACTTTTACGAATTTATCACACTTGTAGGGGAACAGTCTACAGTTAAGTGCAAGAATCCAATTTTTTGCCTCTCTAACAAGGCCCTAGGGATGCAAGCTTTATCTATTACAAATAATACCAAAATACAGTGCATGATGGATAGGAAAACACTCTCAATAGAGCAAATTCAACAAAGGAAAAGAATAAACAGCCCTTCATTATTCCAAAATTGCCATGTAGGGCACCATAATTCAGACCTGTATATATAGCATTTTGAAAATAACACATGCCACATGAAAATGTTTAGGGTTTTCATGTTCACAAAGATTCTCTTCCTCCTCTACCTAACATCTGAACATTTGTGCTGTATTGACTAAAGAGACTGGGATAGAACTTTTCTATAGATTTAACAGTCTAATACTACCAAGGTTCATTTTAACCCAAAGAGATAACAAGGGAACCAATTATGATACTGGTAGTAATCTCCGTAGTTTCTTACAAACCAGCATCACACCTAAATTCATAACTTTGACTCATTCCTGGGGGCACATGTAACTTAATGTGAAATTGGCACTTGGCAGTACTACAAGAGATTGAAGAGGGAGAGTAAAAGATAAAATCAGTAATAAAGAATTAAGGAGAAAGCAGGAACTATTATGCAGCAGAGCCATCTAATATTATGCATCCAAATTGAAGATTACTATTACATAAGTGATTCAAATCAAATTTATTAATACAAGTTAAATGAGCAAGAGAATTGCACAACAATAATAAGGGTCAAGAATGAACCGTGGAAGGAACTCTGTAACAATGCAAAGACGTTGAGGAGAAGTAACTGCTCCCATAAAAAGAAGTACATTAGGATGCCGCAGCCTCTTCATAAGAGATACCTTCAATCAAAGAAAAATGTGGATTTAGGAAAGAACATGGCTCTCAAAATTTTAAACAAGAACAGGAAGTGCGCAAAGAGAAATTTTGAATCAATTTTTTACTAACTAATATTTAAGACTGGCAAATTAAAATGACCAAAACGTAAGAAGACCCAACAAAATAAATTGTTACAAGCCAAATACAAAAAATTTCAGCAAATTCATAAGCTTACAGACAGGCGCATTTAATAACTGACACTTCCCATGGAATATCTCAGAAATGTGAGAAACATGTGAAAACAGTGCCTGGAAGACGAGAATAAATTCTGCATGTTTTCCAAGAGTTGGTATCTTGACACATTGCTTGCACCATCAGTTTTTATAAATGACTATTCTTCTACGTACCTGGTATTTAAAATACCAAGAAAACAAAGGCATTTTACTACAACCTCTTGAATAGATGGGGTAAAATGGTCATTTAAAAAAATTACAGGTCCAAGCAGTGTTTGGAATTTGCAGTTCCGGAGCATGTGCACTATTCGTGATTGAAGCACTGTTTTCATGTAATATGTATTTCATCACCATCATTATCATCATAGCCTTTTCCCAACTATTTGGAGTTGACTACACGAATCTTGATCCGCCGTTCTGCTCTATCAAGGGCCATACCTCAGTGAGACCAAAAGTCCCTATATCTTTTCTCACTACTTCCAACCATGTCTTTTTGGGCCTACCTCTTGCCTTTTTAATGCAATATATATTTCATTTTAATAATTTGTGGCAGGCATTTCTCCCTTCCTAGAGCTCTCCCTGATCCAGCTAATTACAATGCGTAGATGTCTATCGATCTAATTGTTAAGATATGCATCAAATAATGCAGGATTATATCCAGGATGAATCTGAGAACCCACAATCGCCAGAATTAGGAATATTGTAGATCTAGAATGCTAACCCATTTAGCCATAAAAGACAACCCCAGCTTCATTTAACAATTATCTTTGTAATAGATGCATTGTTAAAATGAGAGTCACACCAATACAGCTAGAGGAAGTAATCTTAAACACATTACCTCTTGTCTGAAGGAAGCAATAACATCTTCAGAATATTCTTGCTTGGCAAACACCTTGATTGCCACATCCTGCAAGAAACTCTATCATAAGCCTCCCATTGCATTTAACAGAAGAATATCAAGACAACGGTTTTGGACAACAGAACTTCTTGAACAAAACATCCAACATGTATGTGGGCGCATCTATTCCAATGTGACACATCATGCATTCATGGTTATCCATAGTATGACAGGCCCACTTACTTGGGTTCATCCCAACAGAGACATAAAAAATGCCAGTCTTGTGACATTCTATGGATCGCAATAGATTCACGCCTACTGCTCAAAGGTACCTCTAATTATCAAAAAGATAGTATGATGTAGTGTAATGGGTAAGATAGTATGATGTAGTGTAATGGGTAGCATAAAATATGGACTAAAGAAAAGCCATGACACATTGTGGCCATCACCCGGAAGGGGGGGTGGGGTGGGGTGGGGGTGGGAAAAGGAGAGAGAGAGAGAGTGGCCCACCAAAAAAGAAAAGAACTTCAACAGGCAGCCCACTTTCTTCCATCTTTGTCCATCATTTAATTGGAAGGCGATAACCCATTATATTGTGGTTACTCCTTAGCCCATTGGATTATTGTAGTATACTTTCCTATTATAAGAAGCACAAAAAATGGACAAAACATACCGATCCGTACCATAGGCCATGATAGACAGTCCCACAAGAACCTGCCCAATTATCAAATAGCTAGAAATAAGAATCATAAATTCAAGAGTAAAAAACAATGTGCCAGCTCAAAATGAAAAAACAATCAGTACTCCAATTGCTTCTATGAATTGTTCTAAAATATGCATCCGGAAATCAAGCTGCACATAGTGAAGGTATACAAGCGGTGTCCAGAAGCAGAAAGATAATCATAACATTTTCTATTTCCTGTTTGCATCATCTGATCATATTAAGACGTGACCCAACAAATGGCTTCACTATGGTGGATTCTACAGTGCATAGGAGTGTCACTCGGATGAAGAAAGATGGTAAAAGAATAAAAAAAATGGATCGAGGGGATGCAGTTTGCTATATATGACCAATTTTATATTTGTCCCATAAGATTCAGGTAATAGAAATTACATTGAAATGAAACAAGACCATGCAACTTTTTCGGGTAATTTGACCAAGAGCATATAGTCTACCGTTGAAAGATTTAAATGAAGCACTTATTGCTAAAAAATATTACCTTGACCGATTTGTTCTCCTATAGTCAGGTCCTCCCATGGTATTTCACAATCTAGACTATCAGTTTCCATGTCCACTTTTTGGATGGCACTACTACTAGTACTTCCACTACTGCTTATGCTACTCATACTATTGACATTAAAAGATGACCAGGATCCAGGAGCCTCATTGTTCCCCCCATGATTATTATCAAAAGCTTGGTTTTCTGGTCTCACACCAGCCTCAGATGCCTTCTCAGAACTTTGGTTATTTTCCCTCTCATTATTCAACCATGGCCAAGCAAAACGAGCTTTATTTTCATCCCCATCACCCCCATCACCTCCCCTCCATGGCCACGTTATCCCTTTTTTCCCAATCCATGCCTCTGCTTTTGAGCTTATGATTTTGTGAATCCCAATTTTCCCTTCAGTGCCCTCTGGTGTATCTTTACAAACTTTTCTTGGAGATCTTTCTGATGGAGTTGTGGGTGAGTTACCCATTTGAGGTGGTGGGGCATCACTTCTTGGCGTGCTGGCTCCACTAGAAGTTGCATCCTCTCTATTATGGTCAAAAGGAAAGCCAACATCAGAGCATGCATGATCAGAGAATTGGCTATCCCCACTACCACCTTCACGTTCTGTGGTGTTCTCACTGATGCGTATGTGGGAGCGCACCTTGCTAGTCACCTTCGATGCCTGTTTCAGTAGTTCAACAGTCACAACATAACTATGCATATATTTCTCAGAGATTGCTGTTTACACTTTTATTTTTGCTATCTGCATTAATGGATGTAAATTCTAGCCAGCCTGGACATTTGATATTCCCAACCATGTTTTATATGGGAATAACAAAAAAGTAGTTCGAATAACAAAAACATGCGTGGAAATATCGTCTTTAGACACCATTATGAAGTTTAACTCAGGAGGCTATCATTTTCGAGGAAGATTTACCAATAAAAAAGTCGCATTCTGGGGGAGCCTACACCATAACGTGATGGAATATTGGTCAATGGTAATGCCAAAGGGGCATACACCATCTGTCCCTTCTGACAGTAGATGGAGATTAACCCAGTGACGCCCACTGTAGTATGTGCCCAGATACAATCTAACTCTCCCGCATCTATTATCGACAGGTTTCCCAAGTCTACTCGTACTCAGCCCCTTGCCAAGCCGAGTACTTGTGTACAAAGTACAACCGCGGGTGAAACGAAAAATGTATTAAAGATCGTAAAAATATTATTTTTGCAAAATCAATTAATAAAATATTTTATATATAATTCTCATGCTTTTGATGATGATTATAGGCCTTATTTTTATATCTTCACCTTTTCATATATTGACAATGCTCATTTGAACTACTGTTATGCTGTATTTGTAATTTTCATTTGATTCAATAAAATTTATATGATCCTTGTAAAAAAAATAGCATTAAAAAAAATCAATTTTTTTTTCTAAATCCATCTTTTATATATTTTTTCCATTTGATATGGGTTTTTTAATTACTTTATAGTTTCCTTTACTTTTACCATTTTTCTTTTACTTTTACCAATTTTTCTTGTATATTGGTTTTTCCAAAATCTTAGCCCTGTTTTGGGCTTGTACAATACTCAGGTAAGTCCACTCCAACTCCCCTAAGTAACTCGGCTTGAGCAGAGGCCCAGTCCCGAGCCCGAGCCTGAGCCCGAGCCGAGTATTAAAACCTCAGTGAGTCAGGAATGGATGTGAACACCCCTGTGGATAACCATATGTCATAATCCATCATATCATGGAATAATGTTTTAGGATATTTCTATGTATTTGCTATGAAAGCTTGATGTGTAATCATAAAAATGAAAACTTACCAAATTGGATATTTTGGAAGCAATGGCAGCTTGTAGGGGATGTTGGTCATCTGTGCCGCTCCTATTCGGGGGCATGCTTCTTGACTGAACATAACTTGATTCAGACCCAACAGACTTTGTATTGTTGAAATCGATTCCAGCTTCCTGAAAGCGTCTCACATCGCTTGAAACACAAATAATACCAACCAATGTACCATCATCGTCATAAAATGGGGTATTTGTGAATATAGCAGAAAACCGCTCCCCCAATTTATTTTTTACAGGGAACTGCCCAGTCCAGTTTTCCCCCATGGTTATTCGCTTTATTATATTACTCACAACATCAAAGTCACGAGCATCAATGAGGAGTTCAAGGGCATCTTGACCAAGGGCTTCTGTTGCTGAATAGCCATATAGAAGTTCTGCAGACCGATTCCTGCAAAAAGAGCTTCTGGTAATAATAGTAATTCCTAAAGAAAGTAAGGATAACAAGTTGCACAACAAGCAAGAAACACACAATTCAATGTCACAACTGAAGCTCAAAACATATTAGTATTAATGGAAAAACATTGTGATGTCTCAGCTAGATGTAGTTTAGAGAACTACCAAAAATTGGCAAAAAGCAGATGCTTCTGGACAAATGAACAATGAAAAAAGAAAGACAGTAGCAACCTGTGGCAATGTAGCGCATCGGTTCAATTACAGATTTAAGAGTTGAAAACAGCACAAAAGCACTATGGTTCTGCTGGTAAAATGCATGGTTCTTTAAACTATATAAGATGAGATGGCAATCAAGTTCATCCTTCTGCCACTAAGAAAACTTCTTAGCAACCACCACCTTACTAGCTCCTCTGTTCTCAGCTCGTCATCTACAACCTACTTGCAGGTGCTTCACCTTTTTTTTTTTTGGCTACACTAGGAGCTTCACTTTAGCGGTTGGAAAGTATGATAGTAAAAAGTGTTGGCTGAGACATGACAAACAAAAGGCAAACAAAGTTCGAAGACTGCATCTCTAATGCCTAAAGAGGTCAAACATAAAACTAAGTGAGGGACTATGTTAACCATATATAGAACCATTTTTAATGCTTCAATTTAAGGATATGAGGATCCCTAACAATTGTGCATTAGAGAAAGCCCAAATTTGATAATGCACTGACTCTTCCCATTAGCCACTCCGCTCTCTCCTCTCTCAATCTCTCACAAGCATCCTTTTTCTCTTCCTAGTAATACAGCAAACTCATGTTGTATGTAGTAATTTTGATATCCTTCCCCAAGTACTATCTAGCAAGATAGATAGCTCCTACTATCTAGCAAGATAGATAGCTCCAATTCTTACTCGACAAAAGTAGAATTCATTAGTAGCTCCCATTAGTTGGAAAATCTATAGAATCTACTGCACCCAATCTATGCCTCTCTCAGGCGATTAACGATCAAATGAAGCTCACTTGAATTAGTTCCATTCTCTTATAATAAGTGTCAGCTCATAATTTGTCAGATCTTCCAATTTAGAAGAGGTGTCAGTTGCCCTGCTCTCTACCTATGCTCAAACAAGCTTCTAAAACTCATAGAATGCAACTCCATAAAAAAAATCCAAAATTCTAGAGAAGGATTACGAGTTCTCCACCATGTATTGCTGATTCGCTATAAACTTAATTTATGTTATAGGCTGCAGGCTATACCAGTAGCAGATACATGTGAAGAGCTTCATATCTTTCCATTTATTTCTCCTCTCAATCATCTATGACATACAACTTTTTGGCACCCTCAGTGACATTACTTCTCTTACTACAGAGAAATTCCATGTACTAGCCCAACAGTTAACCAACTTGCGGGCCATTTCGTCCAACAGAGAAAAAAACCAATAGTGAATCATTCTAGTCTGCCTGTCGTAGCTTTCTCTTCGTTGTTTGGTTGCTTTGCCAATCAATTGATTAATGTTCTTGGAGAATGTCCTCCTCAAGTACATGTGTCTAGAACTCTGTGTGTTTACAAATATTCAAAAACTATAATTGCAACTAGCCAAGCCTGCACTAATGCAAATAACTTTTATCTTTTAATCTAGGGCAACTACCTGTCAAAATACATTAATCCACTATTTGAAACCCAAATCATTTAAACCGAGTCCACCACAAAAAAGTGACTTTTCTAACATGTAACATGTAAATTACACAAGTAATCCCGGAAAAAAAAAATGAAAAAATTAACATAGAAACTAAGGCCAATACTCAGGTACAAATTATCTCACTCCCTTTTCATCATGAAAATAATGACATTAAAGAAGAAGGATTTTATCAAATTTCAAACAATGAAGTCAATTCAAAGAAAATTCCATGAAAAAATGGCAAAAAACCCAACACCCACAGTCCAGTATAAAATGCCACATTCCCATTATCACTTAAAATACGCGCCCTTCCATTTAGACAACAACTGATAAATCAACATGACCAAAGAAAACACCAAAAAGCCCATAAAAAAAGGACTGCACATAACCCATATTTCAAATGACATAAGAAGTCAGAAGCCATTAAACACACGAAACAAATGCCATTAAACACATGAAACAAATGCCACCACAGACGAAAAAAATACCAAAACAATGAAGCAAAACAACCAGAGAAATGAATCAAAACAAACCAATCTCACTTCACCAAATAAATCAAAACAATGAGTCGAAACAAAGCAAAACTAATCAAAACTCACCAGTAAATTATCGACCCCGAGAGATCAAATATATGAACCGACTGCCCCATCGACTGCAAAATGTTAAGGTACTGCCGATCAGTGAAATTCATTCTCGCGCCCCTCCCTCCCCCACTCCTCAAAGCCCCTCCACGTCTGCTCTCTCTCTGCAAAGGCGACGAATGGTGAAAAGGCGAAGGAGAAGGAGAGTCAGAGCTCCTCATGGTCCCAACAAACCTTCTCTGAGGAGACACAGAGTGAGACCTCTTACTATGGTCCCCTCCTCTCTCTTTAGAGTCCACCATTAACCTCGAGACCTCCTTTTTGAGGAGGGCATGGCCAGCTTCAAGCTCCTGAATCTTCTTCAGAAGCTCCTCAGGTGGAGTATCCATGGTCAGGGTTAAAATGGTAATTTGCGCGAATTTTTAGGGCTAAGGGTTCATCTCTCTCACTCTTCTGGTTTGGACCATAACCGAAGCAATGTCCAAAACAAGGTTATGAAATGCATATATACAGTTTTGCAGCTGTTCCAATTACTCGGAGATTATATCCAATTCCTCGGCGATTTTGCCCCAATACGTCGGCGATCAAGACGAGGATGTCTGATTCCTGGCCTGTAGCAGGGCAAGTTCTATGAATCCATCGGCGATTAGGAGATAGCGATCGAATTCCTAGGCGATTTATCGCACGAATGCGTGAATTCCTCGGAATTTGGGGTCGAGCTCTAATTCCTCGGCGATTAGTGACGAAGCGGTTTGGATTCCTCGGCGATTATGGCTAGTGGTTCTGAACTGTGACGAAAATGCCCTTGAATCTTTGGTGAAAATACATGTTACAGAGTGGGTTTTGGGACTTGGTGCGGTTCACGTGCAGCGCGTGACGTGGTTTGTGAAAATCAACCGCGGCCTTCCGTGGCCCTCCCTCCCTCTTTCTCTCTCTTCCCCAAATTAAGCGAAGGGCGGCTAAAGTTTATGAGAGAGAATAAAAATAATATATTGTTAAGAATATTTTATTTTATAAAAAGGCAAGGACAAAAGATGAAGAACTAGGGTTAGGGCCATGGCCCATGGCCATGGACTTGGTCTGGCCCCGTCCGGTCTGCCTGGCCTTAAAAATCTAAGGTTTGGGCTGAGGGCAGGGTTTGGGCGAGAGCTTTTTGTCCTGTAAAGCCATGTTATGTTTTTTTTTTTTTATTTATTGGACATTGACCAACACTCGTAGGGTCAGATCGGGTCCGGCCCGTTTCCAGCACTAGGAGGAATGAATGGTGAATCAATTGGCAAGAGAAGCACTGCAATGATGAGAGAGTTTCAAGTGACATTATGATCTTGAAACTAGAATTATGTGAACTGCTATTGTGCAGGTGAGAGAAAGATTGGGTGTGTTCTAATGGCATAATGCCTTGCTTTTATGAATAGTAGAGATAGAGAGATAATTATGTGCCATGCTATTGTGCAGGTGAGAGAAAAAGAGTGGGTGTGGTTAAATCATTGTTCGTAAAATCGCCCGGTTAACTAACTTTTAATCGTTCAGTTAGATCGGAGCCGGTCGGTTTCGATTTTGGATGGTTAGGGTGATCAACCGATATTTTTCACCCAACTGTAAGATAGCGCTGATTATCAACTCTCTTGAACTTGGATGCATACTTCATCTCAATGCTCTGATTCATAAGGGGGGGGGGGGGGGGGCTTATGAAGAGGACCCTATGGGTGAAGTCAAGCAAGAAACATAAGTAAATTGGTTCTCAGTTTGTAAATCAAAGAAACACGGAGGCGGAGAGACGAACGAAGCAGGCTCTCAGATGGTGGTGGAGATGGGCATCGGAGTCATTGCAACTCTCTGGATAAATGTTATGTTGCTTCACAAAAACAAAAAACATTGGGGGAAATTGAAGTTCATAGGTCTATGGTGTCAAATATTAGACTGTTGGTAGATGATGGCAAGACAACAAAGTTTTGGCATGGCAGCACCGATGGCTAGACAAAAGGCCGAGGACCAACAATCTGGCCTCCCAACAGGGGCTAACAGTTGCTACACCACCGCAAATGCGCTGGGCTGTGCTGGGACTGTTTTTCTCCATCAAAGTTTATGTCCTCACCCCTAGTGAAGATCCGATCCCATCTCAGCTGTTAACAGAATGTGGGTGGATGATACCAGCCCTATACAAGATGTAGGCCTTGCTGTGGCTTGCATTTCATGTCAAGGTGGTGGAAATGGCATCCGAAACATATGCCTAGGATGAAAGAGAGTTGGGGGGTCGGGAAGCCATTTATTTTTGTTTTGCACTAGCTAATTGAGTTGAAGAATCTGAAACCAATGGGCTTCCCACCTCGTGATATCCTCAAACTAAACTTTGATGGTAGCTTAAATGGTAATGTTAAAAGCCTGGTGCGAGATCATATCGGGATGGGAGGACGTAATCCAACTCACTCCCAGCCTTGTGATCAGATCTGTACTCATTAAATGAAGGTTAGACAAAGCACATTATTGAAGTCACTCGAGGGCGCTTGAAGGAAGTTTTTGATGAAATTAACCTACCGCCTGTATCACTGATCTAAAATCTGAGATATGGAACTTGGACCTAAAACTTTAGATATCGATAATCTCAACCAAATGCAATCACTAATTCGAAAAAAAAAAAAAAATGCACTTTGAATTTTAAAGATAGACTAGTTTAAAAAAAAATTGAACACATTCTAGTTCTTTGCAGATCATTGA